TTGATGATGCCCACCTCTGTACCAGGTGACACGTTCTCAGGTATGGGATTGGCGAGTGATTTCAGATAAATAACCGGGGCATTGTCATTTACATCGGTAACATCTATGATGACTTTGGCATATGACGTTATACCCAAACCATCTTTTGCTGTGACGCGCAGTTCAAACGATGACGCTGTTTCAAAATCAACTGTCGTCATTAATTGTATATCACCTGTCTTATGATCTATCGCAAACATTGACTTAATATCTTCTGAAATGTGTCCAAAATCATATATAATGTCTCCATTTAGTCCCTCATCTGCATCAGTAGCACTCACTGTCAGCACGACAGCACCTAGTGGAGAGTTTTCAGGCAGACTGGCTTTATAAACGGTCTGGCTAAACACTGGCACGTTATCATTAGCATCCAGTACAGTCACGTGTATGACTACAGTACCTGATCTCTGATGAGAGCCTCCATCTAGAGCTGTAAGAACAAGATTGATTTCTTTTAACTGTTCGCGGTCTAGCTCTTTGTTCAGGACAAGTTCCACAGAATTACTTCCAACGCCCAGAATAAAATTATCATTGCTTTGGAGGTTGTACGTCTGAACTGAATATTTGCCTACATCCGCATCATGTCCTTCTTCTATTGGAAAGCGAGCACCTTTTACCGCGGATTCACTGATATCTATATGAATCAGATCGTTATTAAACTGTGGAGAGTTATCATTTATGTCCTGGACATGCAGGCTAATTCGATGTAATTCTAATGGATTCTCTAACATGAGTTCTTGTTTTAAAACGCATGATGCTTTGTCTCCACAAAGGCCCTCTCTGTCAATCCGTTGAACAACAGTCAGATCCCCGTTGCTGAGGTTTAAGTCACAATAACGTGTGTCGCTCCCCTCGGTATCAATGCGGGCTTTTCGAGCGAATAGACTGCTTGTTTCAAGACCCAAGTCTTTGGCGATATTACCGATCAAGGATCCACGTCTCATCTCCTCCGGAAAAGAGTAGCTTACATCTCCATTTACAAACTGCAAAGAAAGGAGCAGTAAAGCCAAGGCACAGCTTTGCAATGTGAGCTCAGTAGTCTTCATGACGACGACCTAAAACAGCGAATGTTCCCTAGTCAGTGCACAGGAATAGCCAAAAAAAAAATCAGGATTTACACCAAAATCAACACAATCCAAGACCACGTCTCTTCCTCACTAGACGATCAACTGCAGCACATTTAGTCAAATTGTGCGTCGACGAAAGTGGGTTGATATCGACACACAATCTATTACAGCTGGTGGATAGCGACATCGCGAGTCTCCTCTAGAAATTGCATTGTTCAATTCGCAGCAAATCTGTACAAGCCTTACAAATAACTGCCTATAAAGAGCATTCATTATGCACGTTCAAGGGAAATCAGATAATGAAATGATGTCTTAAGACTTGTTAAGAGGATCAAGCGTAAAGGGCACGTCTAAGAGAACAGCAGGTCATATTAAGCACTGCTTCTTGGGTGTGGAAAAACGAAAGTGATCATTTATATCCTTGTCTTCACGTAAGATATAACGTTTAGCTTTCACTGATATGACAACCTACTCTTAAAGTGACAGCTAAATACCAGCAAGAGATAAACAAGGGAAAATGTACAAGATATTAAAGATATTAAGGGCACAACAAGAACAGCACTTGATTGAACTGAAGGATTATCATCACTTTGTTCAAAACCAATGAACTCTTGCAAAGGCTACTCATTTACAAAATCCAACAACTTGGACAGAGAGCTACACTTTACTCCAAAATGCAGCAGCTGTTGAATTGAGAAAATAAAAACTATTGCTTTAAAAAAAACAGCAAACTGATTAGAGTAGGTAAATAGGAAAGAGGAAATGTAAATCTGATTATATAAAAAATAGATTTTAAAAAACTGCAGATTTGTTACAAGAAAAGATTCATCAAACTGAATTGCATGTAGTTGTACGGTAGAGGAAGAAGGAAGAAGATAAAAAAACAAATGTCATGATGGAGAATACCAAGGCCATACTAGGATTTACAAGGTATCCCATATTTTCTATGAAAATAAAGACTCAATCTGGTCACTCTTACCTAAAAAAAACAACCAATAAAAGCAAGACCAACTTAAAAAACAAATGTAAAAAAATATCAACAATAGAGATTTTTTAATTGTTAAAAGGTCATATTTGTCTAATCTTTTATTCCTGTTTGGTGGCAATAACTACACCTTTTAGAAGTATTAAGTGAATGACAAATGTCTCATAGCAAGATATTAAACGCTCAAAAACAATTATTTCTTGAAGTGTGTCCAAGTACCAACATAGCTGTGAAGACCGCCCCAAAGGCAACAGATGACAACTATAGTGAGCACAAAATCTACCACTGATTTCAGTTGGTGATGTGGAAAAGAATCCACCGTAATTCTTACTGAAACCCTTTTTTTCAAATACAATAATTGATCGAATGTTTGATGTTCTTACCTCAGGAGATGCATCACAATCTCCAAATACTTCAGCAAAGTCTGATGGACTTTTCCTC